ACTCGCTTGTGCTTCTTCTCTCCCTTCTGCTTGTTCCCCTCTCTTGTTTCTCCATCACCTTTCTTGAGCGTGCAGTATGTCTGACCCGTCGGACCACGTCGTTTCCACGCCAGGATTCAAGATGGACCTGCCCAAGTTCTCTGGCTCGCCCGGCACCTTTCATGCGTGGAGCATTCGCATGAAGATGGCGCTCAAGCTGCGCGGCGACGACGTCTGGGCAGCTGTGGAGGCAGGAGCGTCGTCATCAGGAGGTCCAAGCTCAGCGACACGCTCAAGTGCAAGGAGACCGACAGCAGGAGATCACGCCAACCTCACCGCTGCAAACCTCATCGCGTCCACGCTCTCAGGCTACCCCCTTCTCCTCTTCACCAACGGAGAAGCAGACGTCAACGCCGGCCAAGGATGGGCCCGGCTCAAGGACCACTACGCTTCGCAGGACCGCCTCCGCATCGCAGAGCTCAAGGAGGCGCAGCTTCACGTCCCCTGCGGCAACCTCGCCCGCTTCTTCGAGCGACAAATGGAGCTGCAGCAGCAGTTGCAGGACGCAGGCGTGCGCCAGGACAACGAGGACCTCTTCACCATCGTCTGGAAGCAGCTGCCACGCTGGACAGCCCCGCTCACGCTTCCCTACTTTGCCAGTGGCCGCTTTCCCTCCCTCCTCGAGCTCAGCATCAGACTGCAGCAGCTGGAGCAGCAGATGCGTGGTTCACGCACACAGCCGCAGGCAGGCGGCTTCATGGCAAGCGCACCGCCACGCAGAGGCGGAAGACGCGGCTTCTCCAACAACAGCAACAACCACGGACGCCAGGGACGCAACAATGGCAACAGCAACGGCAACAGCAACGGCAAAGGGCGCCGCTTCCGTGGCAACTGTCACTACTGTGGCAAGTATGGACACCGTGCAGCAGAGTGTCGCAAGAAGCAACGCGACAACGGAGCAACAGGCTTCACTGCACAGGCACAGCATCAACATGGTCAAAACGCAGCAACCTTCGTCGCTGCCACAGCTACTACACCCACGCAGCTGCATGACCCACTCACGTGGCTTGCAGACACGGGTGCTTCACACCACCTCACCTTCGTCAAGGACGCCTTCGTGGAGCTGACACCGCACCTGCAACAGCATCATCCACGCCACATCACTGCGTTTGGCGGCACACGTGTGCCCGTGCGTGGTGTTGGCTCTGTGCTGTTGCATGCACGCACGACGAGCGGAGCTACGATGCAGATTGTGTTGCAGGAGTGCCTCTACGTGCCCGAGGGCCAGGCCAACCTCATCGCCCTCGGTCGTCTGACTAGGGACAGCAGCGGCAGGCCAACGGGCCACTCGCAGCATGATGGCGCTGATGGGCACTACGTGCGCTTCAGCCACGGAGCCGAGGTCAAGCTGAAGGAGCGCAGCAGCCTCCGATGCTGGCCCATTGTTGCTGTTGGTCCATCCACGGCACACGGACTCACCGCCGATGCCTGCAAGCAACCACAGCAACCCGCAGCAGCTCCTGCAGCCCAGAGCAAGGTGCAGACACCATCGATGCATGAGGTGCTTGGCCACCGCAACGACAACGACGTGCAGCAGTACTGCAAGCTGATGGGCATCGACGATCGCAACGCCATCAGCAGCAAGCAGTGCGCAACGTGTGCAGTGACCAAGAGCACTCGTCACAGCGTCAGCAAGCACGCGGAGCGCACACAGGTGCCCGGCGAGCGCATCCACGCCGACATCGTCGACTGGACCGCGGACTCACCCACGGGCAAGCGCTACAGCCTCGTCATCGTCGATGAGGGCAGCAAGCTCCTGCATGCAGTCCATCTCAATGCCAAGAAGGACGCAGTTGCCGCGTTCCAGTCTTTCCTGCGCGAGACCAAGCTCCCCATCTCGCCCACAACAACAGCACTCCAGACGGATTCCGATGCCATCTTCCTCGGAGCTGACTTCCAGGCCATCGTCAAGAAGCACCTGAAGCAGCACCAGCAGTCCCCGCCGTACACCCAGGCGCAGAACGGCATCGTCGAGCGACAGGTGCGCACCCTCTCCGACATGGTGCGAGCCATGATCACGGGTGCAGGCCTCGACGCATCGTACTGGAGCCTCGCCTGCAACCACGCCCTCCACATCCTCAACAACATGCCTCACCCTTCCCTCTACGGCAAGACACCGCTGCAGATTGTCACGGGCGCGCTGCCCAAGCACGTGCCACAGCTGCACGTCTTCGGGCAGCCGGCCGTCGTCCACATCAGCACACAGCGCGGACGCCTGCAGCCCAAGGGCCGCCGAGGCATCTACGTCGGCCACAACAGCAGCAGCAACAGCCACCTCGTCTACTTTGAAGACACAAACACCGTTGTGTCCTCCATCCACGTCCGCTTCCTTCCCTTCTCCAAGGCCGATGATGTCGTGGATGAGGGGGAGCAAGTGCAGACAATCCACGACATCGTCCATGCTCCAGCTTCC